CAACAAATTTAAATGAATTTAACTCAAGCAATACAAGACAGCGTTGAGTTGTCATAAATCATAAAGATTCTAGATGGTTATGTCTATCTCATTTTTCGGTCCTAGTGAAACTAACTCGAACTTGAATTATCGTAAACACCCTGTGTCTCTTGGTGGAAAACTACCAAAAAAAGTATCTTTTGTTTCTAAAATGTCGAGCAACCTAAGGGCCTATCCAGACAAATTTGCATAGTCGCATAAACATATGCATAAGGAAATTGATTGGACCATTTCCTTATGCATTTGCTTATGGACCTTAATATTATCTCCTATGAGAGTTTGTTTTATTAAAACAATCTTTTTTATTGGATATCGGACGTCGTAATACGTCGGAAATCAGACCCAGTGTGAATCCAGCATTTGTCTATTATCTATAGCAGGGATACGCAACTGGCGGCTCGCGGGCCGAATCCGGCCCTCGATCAAAGCTGCCAGTCTGGCAACTCTGCCCGTGACGTTCAAGTAAGGCACTATAATGCCCATTTCCATCAATGTAGATTAACTTTAATCTCGGTTCAACTTACTCTTCATCTTTTTCTAGTTCTAAGAATTAAAAAAGTAGAAGAGTAAGTTGAACCAAAATTAAAGTTAATCTACGTTAATGGAATCGGGCATAAACGTGAGTATTCTCACGTTTGCGCCATTTTCGCTCCATTCTTCCACTCCTTGCCCTCTCGCCCTTTTAGCTTTTTAGCTTGCCCTCGCTTAGCTAAGAAGTTTATGGTGATTAGGCGACAAGATCTATAGAGAGAAGGTTACCTCAGGAAAACCGGTTGTGAGCGAGAGACGATGAAGTAAAGGGGGAGCTAGAAACAGCTTGATGGCGAGGGGCGATGAAGGAAGGGGAGAGCATGATGATCTCATCGACAAACAGTAGCTGTCTCTCTCTTTCAAAGTTCTTCCTTTTCTAACTGTTTCTAACTCTGTACACATTAAATTTTATAATATTGCCAAAAAAAATTACAAGCACGTAGGTGATAAGAGGAAAGCTGAAGATAATCAAAGAAGAGTCGCCAATAAATATAAAAAAATTATTAATTAATTTAACGCAATTCACAGATTAATACAACATAAATGTATTTTTATTATTATAGATACTTATAAATTTTATAATCACAAATGTTGCCGCATATTTAATGATCCCTAATATATACCCCATCATATTTGTTTTAAAGAATTATTTTAAGATTTCAACAGAAACATTTCAATAATATTTTATTAGCAAATATTTAAAAATTGTTAACACTTTGTAAATTTTATCATATAAATATTCACATTTGCAATGTTGAAACATATATTACAATTTCATTATTTAAGTTTGTATCATAATAAATTTGTGTATGATGCTTTTTATATTACCCTAGAATTGTACTTACATTTATGAATTTTAGTTACAATTTCTTGACAATTTTTGAGGTTTTCACAATTAAATATAAAAAATAAATTTCTTTATAGTATTTCTTTTGTAAATAATGCATATAAACAGTAAATATTATTTTAAAAATAATTTTTAAATATGTACTATTTTTCTTTTATTTTACTACTTTACAAATGATGTTTTTGTGTATATCCCCAAATTAT